TTGGAGAGACGTGTTGTATAGTCTAAAATAATGAATTTGCAATAATGAATATGCATATGAATGTTCAAAACCGTTAAAAATAAATCGGCTAGTCAATCGTGCTTGGGTAAATAAGGAAATTCGAGTATATTTCACTTTAATGTTTAGTTGGTGTTCAGCAATTGCATTTCTCACGTGAATAATATTTCTGACTTACTAAAAAGCTGAATTCTAACAATCTGCAGAAGACATAAGAAAACGTCTTGGAGATGTTTGTTTTATGTCGTGTCGGGTGATCGTAAGTTGTCTTTAAAACGTATTTTTCATGTTCGAGACATACAGATATTATCAGCGCATAAAACGGACATCATCCAGACCTTTTGTTGAATCTGGGAAGAGAAAGGCACACAAATATGTTTCCACAATTTCCTCTCTAATCACTCAATAGATTGTGGCCCAGTTTGTGAACCAACTTTTTTCCAAATTTATTGCATATTATGCCCTGTAACTGGATCCAAAATTGTCACTTTAATGCACTTGAAGCTTAGAATTATATAGAAATACTTTCAACTCGTGCATCTTAGGCAAAACAACGATCGTAGATATAGGTACGTCAGGATCTCACCAATGTCTGACCGTTGAGTAGCTGGGGCTTGTCTATTTTAGTCATAGCAAGGTTGCCAGATAGTCGGTACTGTCGCTAGGTCAGATGATAAATTTCTGGATTGCAACGTTGCCAAAATGCGTGGGAACTATGGACTACATTGTATCCTGTTTGATGGACTTGATCCATTTCATCTTTTTGACGACGGTGTTGTGTGAGGAGCGCAGAGTAAACATACCTAACTCTTACTATTTTTTTCACTCAGAAGTATTTTATAAATACGAATAATTCTTAGTGTATTTTGAGCGCCGATATACGCTTGTTCTACGCTTTGAATTGTGTAGGTTTCTTGGTTAAATGGTGAGCATAAGAAATCACGGTCGTACCTTTTCGACACAAACAATACTGAAATTGGACCGAGGCTAGTTCCGTTTTACACTTATTTGAACGTTAGATTCTTATAAAGCAGTAAATTTTTCTTATGTCCACAATGTTTCGTCTAGAGGAGCAGTAAGTAATCTTCAAAGATTTCAGAATGAAATACGATTTTCTGAAATTGTTGACTATAGTTGCTGACTTTGGATACTTTTGGGCCAGGAATCTACAGCGTAGGTTTTTATCGAATCTTAAAATGCCATTTTGACGTATGAATAAATTAGTTATGAGTTTGATATTTTCGAAATATACGCTTGAACAAAATTGAAACTTACTTACTCCCAAAGAGGTGAACCTTCAACCGAAACTGTAAGAAAATTTAGTATACGAGACAGTCCATAAATTCAGTTTGTGGACCAGTTCGTGTGACTGGATCACTATTAAACAAAACAACCTATGTCTAAAAATAGGACAGCACAAGGTGCCATCTATTACCAGGATCGAACACTGCAAGAGTGAAAACACAAAGCCGTCTACTGGAACTGTATCCCAGTTAGCATTGCTGTAGGTGTCCATGGTTGGCCGTCTCTGGTCGGCTATAGTACGGTTTACTCACCATTAAACGAACTAGTAATGTAGCATTCGTTCGTCCTTCCACAGACGACCAACCATCAACAGCTATAGCACCCCATTTTCACATCGGACGCTCTTTATTTTGTGACGAAAATGTGCCTCTGCAGGCAAAATTAACTTCTTTGTGGGTTTAAAGGTTTTCATGATGAAAACACAAATCAATTAAAAATGTAATTCAAAACGGTTGATAACAAATACTACATATTCCGGATAATTTTGATTTCTGAACAAACGCTATATTAATAAACAAAGCTGCCACTTTTGGGGATTGGAAAACGCACATGTCGTTGGAGAGAAGCATCATTGGTCCATTTTTCTTCTAAAGTGAGCAAACGGATGTTTCAGTCAATGACGAGTGTTAGCGTGTCACGGTAACGAATTTTTATTTGCAAAAGTTGGAGAGAATGTCATCTTCATCGACATTTGATTTCCGAAAAGACAGACAGCCTAAATTCTGATGTCAATTGGTCTCCTCGAAGTGCGATTTGGACCCTCTGGACTATTTCTTTGAAGATAAAAATTATGCTAACCATCTAGCGACAATTGAGGTTTCGAAAGAGGTTTGAGCAAAACAATCGGAAAAGTACTAAGTTTGGGTTAATTAAAATAATTAAATGTCAGCAACATTTCCAATAATTTATAAACGATTCAAATTTTAAACGGTCCTTTACGTAGATGGTTTCATCTGGGGGGTGCACAGTGCCATATCTTAGTATCTCCGAAACATCCGCCTCTCTCTTCCATTTCTTCCACCTCGAATGTATAACTTCTTCCATAATAAATGTTACTTTCACCCCTCTGCAATATACAGGCGATTCTCGGAAGTAAATTATTCATTTCCATTGCCTCAAATTCTGTTTTGTGTTCCCCATGACTGAAAACCTTACCAGGATTTTCCACGATGTTCCTCCGCCATCGATATCACCCAGCTTTTAAATAGCGCCCCGCTGTAATTAACCTTTATTTCCTTTATGCCGGCTCTTTAATTTCGTTGAATTCTTAATCTTGTCATTTTGAGTCAGACTGGGTCATTAGGCATATGGCAGGTTCACATAGAGGTATATTTTATTTAGGCCATTTTACCTCAAGGGAGTTGTGGATAGATTAAAGAAAAACTTTTATTATGAACTACTTGTGGGAATGGCATGGAAAATACTAAATTTATTTTGGCTTTCTCGACGCAATTAGGCATAGAAAAAACAATTGTAAGTGTGAAGTCTCAGTATGGTCGAGTCACCTTAATACTTATAACTAGTGTCCGACCGAAGATGAGTTTTTTAACACAATCTTCAGCCAAAGCAGATGCCAAAGGTTGGGTTATTCAAAAAGAATTGTTACTAGTGCCTTCAAATCCAATTATTATAAGTAGAAATTTCTGTGATAATAATTTAATGAATATAAGTACTTAAATGTAATTAAGTCCTGTTACATTCAGATTAAAATACTTTAAAGCTCCAGATATTTAACACACTGGTAAGAAAGTCAGTTAAAGTAAGTACAAAAAAGATACAGAAGATCTTAGAATTCACATTATCTACATAACAGGGGCACTCAAACTCGCTCAGCTACAGCTCGTCCGAAAACATCTGCTCGACTGCGCCCTCTTCGGAAGAAACAGCTTACGGGGACGGTTACGGAAGTTTGGTATTGTGTTGAGTAGAGTTGAGATTTTGTCTATTCTCAATACAACTATTCACGAATTAATCGTGAATTAATCTAATAACTCCTCAACAACTGAAAGAAAATCCCATAACCTGCGGCAACTGCTAGAGATGGCAACGGTGAATCCTAAAGGCAGTTCGTAGGAATCCATTGTTTGACCAAATCAAATCACAGATATGTTTTAATTTCTAGTTATTGTACGACGTTTTGGCCACCACTAGTACAATGACAATCAATGACATTCTATTTTTGTTTATCTGTTTTCCGGTCCATTCATTTTTCCTGTTCTTCATTCCTAAACAGTTTATTGCGGCAATAGATTAAACTGTCTTGAAGTATGCCGAGATCACACAAAGCCGTCATTAAAATTTTAATAAAGCACTACGTAAAACCAGAAAAACCCAGGAATGAACAAAGGAAAAAATAAATGAAACGTCACCTAGAAGACAGATAAACAAAAATGTACTGTACTTGAAAAATACCACCGTGGTGACCAAAATATCGTACAATAAACAGACATATGTGTGAAATCATGAAGACTACAGGATAAATCAAGGAGTTACATTACCTAAGACGGTTGTCGACGTACACATGAGGGCCATTTTTAAAGTAAGAACCGATTGCGCATAATCCCTGTGTATGTTGCCACGTGACGTCCGCTCAAGCTTTTGGTCAGTGTCTCACTATGCCGTCATTACGTTTCAGATCTCGGTCACTGTAGGTTTCGTGATGATACTGCTTTGTTTATCACTATGTCCTAAACCCGCCAATTATGAAGTGCGCTCAATAATTCGGTTTTTAAATGCAATATAGCTCGCCCTGCTGAAATTCCTCCCTAACAGCTTGATGAAGTTATTATTGCTACACAAAACCGCCGGTGAGGCCCGCTCTCGTGATCATCATAGAGAACTGACTTAACATCGTGAGACTTTAAGAAGAAGAATTTAAGACATTTCTTGGTGGAAAGCGCCTGGAAAATGACGGTGTGTTGGAAGAAACAGTTACCAACTAGTATCCAAAAGCTGGTGCCACAACTTGACTAATGTTAAAATTCTTATAGTACCTATTTTGAAAAGCAAGAAATGTAATACAATTTCCGTTTATAAATAAACCTTCTCCAACTCCATTACTCCAACTCTTACCTAAAGAATGAGCCTGGTACGTGTAAGCGTAAACTAGTCCTACATACGTGGTTTCATTTTGCGGCCAGAAAAATATGGGAATTTATGATTGGTTGACTGAAGGGGATTATTTTTTGTTGACGGTTTTTGGTCTCTTAAGAAATTTCGGCGACAGATTGTAATACCAGTAATAAACATTTTCATATGACACTCACAAGACGTATTCCATGCCTGAGGAGATTGAAATCACAATTGACCGTCCTTTTTGACATTTGAAAGAATTCACTTTATCATTTGCGAGCTGAGTCACTCTGCCGCTGAAGGAAAGCTACTTACAGCTCGTTACAAAAGACCATGATGATATATTCTCCTCGGAACGAATTCATCCAGGGCGTAATGCGCCTGGAGAGACATTACTCCCCCAAGCAAAAACTCGGCTACCATTAAAAATCGATAAAACACAAATGGCGTTCTTAGAGCCCCCGACGATATAATTTATAAAATGTATTCACCCCTTGAGAGAAGACGGGGAGGAAGGGAGAGAGGCAAGAAAATGTCCGCCTCGCTAGAAAATCCATCAAGACTTGCAATTAACTCGAATTCAAATTTTATTCATTATAAATTACCAACGTATAAAACGAGCTTCTTTGAGATGGGAGGAAGAAACGCCAATTTAAAGTTTCTCGACGCTGTTTTATTACTCGCCGACGACGTTCTTTGCTTCTCGCCAGCTCTTCTTCTTCTCCTGCTTCTTTCGCTTATTCCATGAACGCCGGTCGCCAAATTATAACAATCTTCCAATCTCTGATCACTAACATATGTTCTAATGTCTACAGCTACATCTTGCATTGGGGTATATCTAGATTTAAAAAAGACGTTTGACACAGTTGATCATTATCAATAACCTGATGCTATGTGGCGCATAAGGAAAAAACAGACATCACACAACCTGTTTAACATCTACCTACAGAACAGGGAACAATGCTCAAGTATTTATGGAATTTATAGTAATTTTCACAAAAATAACCTGTTACGTTCCTCAGGTGTTAGGACAATTATGATTCAATATAGGTATGTATACTTATTCAAGTATACATTACTATTTGGTACGATATCCAAGCAGCTGGAAAAATTGTAAGCTTTGACGACGATACTATCATTCTCTACAGTACAGTGAATTTAAGTCAACTATAAACATGATGAGAAAATGAATACTATAATAATTTAGTTTAACTTTAGGCTAACGGTAAATTACAGTAAAACGTACTTTATGCCATTTTCATCATATCTCAAAAATTTGGCTGAAAACGTTAAATTGTATCAATGAAAATACTAACGAACTAATTTCCAGGAAAGACATTGTAAATTGTCGATATACTTTGGGATACACATAAGCAGTTTCTGACAGAAAACCAATTGAAAATTATTCATTACGCATTAGCCGAAAGCACAAAAACTAATCTTAAAAACAATACCCAATAAACCAATTACATATACAACGCGGATATTGAGTATGCTGAAACTCAAATACTGGATATAAGTTAATTTATGCTTCTACTTACTACTAATTAACTGTGTTGAATACAAGTATCGTAAAAGAAATAGATATAATTTACTGAAAATTCCTCAACCAGGAAAGTAGTCACTGCTACAATGTCTATGTCCAAGATCTTAAAACCTCCTACCATCTGAAATAAAGAGACAAACACACATTAACAAGTTCAAAAAGGAGTTATAGAATGGATAATATCTGCTCCTTGATCTAAAATTCATCAACCTATCGACCTAGAGGACACTTATTTAGATTAACCTTTTCCCATATTTCTGGTACGAACAAACAAATGTACTTCTCACCTTCGATCTTCAGCATGTCCACTTATTTCTTCTAATTCAATACTAAGTTATTTCATTGTGCTTACTTTCAACTTACGCTAATAAAATGTATATGTTACAAATGTATGTACATAAAACATGTATTGTAGATTCATCTATACCTATTGTTGAATTAATGATGTCATCATTACATCTTTAGGTTGTGTAAGGTATAAAATTTTAATGTATTGTGAATGTCACATGGTCCATTGACAAGAACTTGTATTCCTTTCTGTGAGATCGTTCATATTGTTTATGTTATATATAACATATAATGTTGTATGTAAGCATTTTGAATAAATATCGTTGTTATTATTACTATTACTATTATTATAAACATTGGTTATTCGGTGTGAAGTATAAAGTTGCTGAAGACAAGCTTTTATAGCTGCTCTCTGCAAAAATGCTCAATAGTATTGCCATATCAGTCTTCCTGCCCGAAGTGAGAGATTCTCCAGAAATGCGGAATACTCTCTAAAAACCTCCTGCTGCGGTGATGTTGGCAGCATTACTTCATGGTGGGCAGTATTGTGCCAAGCTTTCATATCAAAGTATTTAATCGCCTTATTTTCAGCTTCATGCGTATACAGATGTACAGCCTGCGAAAATGAAAATTTTGGCCCAACAAGCAGGGTTAAAAATAAATTGCTTATCTTAAATACTTTTAAATGCCTGTAGAGAGAGGTATTATCTTTAATTCAGATGCTTAGCTATCTCAAAAATTATAATTCTTAACCGAGTTTTCAAGCATTAAATATACTCATTGTTACAGCTTTTTGGGCATTAAATGGCCTATAACTCGAGAATGGCCAGCTTTAGAGGAAGGTTAATGAATACACGGTTAAAAATTACCTCAAACCTGTTTCACTTAGATTCCCTCGGATCTGCTTGTTTTGCCTCTCCTTGGATCACATCAGACCTCCATGCACTATTTCTGCGCACTATTTCTTTTGTGGACTCTCCCTCAGTGCAATAATTTTTCTCCGCCTATGTGCCTTTTCTTCATCTTCTGTAATGACGCGTCACCGTCAGCGTCAGCCTGAGAGGCACGAAATTAGTCCACTTATTGGACGACGGAAAAACAAAGGAATGACGTTATTGCCTAGATACAGGCATGGAGATTTGAAGTACGGAGTAGCATGACACGCCTCAGCTACCAATCGCGCTTGGGCGTAACGCGATCGACATTATATGAGTTTGTGGGGACCTCTGTCCTAACTATCAACAAAAATGTGACGTTGACCTCATCTTCTATTTTTCAAATATGTAATGGGATTGTTGAGTGAAATAGACAGCCTACGTTTCCTAGTCCTTTCCAGTTTTCTTTTTATGCAAATGGATCAAACTGCTTGTCTTATTCGGTACCAGAAGTTCCAATATACTAGTGTATTTACGTCGTGAAATTGGGGACCTTTTTTCCAGAAACATCTACGTCTGAAATAACAAAGCTGTTCTGCAGTAAAACAGCAGCAAACACGTAAAACAGAGATTGGAAAAAAGCACTTACTATTCTATTCTACTACTGACAGTAAACTAACATCAAGCTGCCAACTTGAGGTATTCATATCCGACTGTAAATAAGCTAGGTTAACCTACACACCGAGCGGCGCCTGATTTAGATACTAAGGCAATCGTACCACAAAACATCGTACCTTGTGACGTAAGATGCAGGGTCGGGCTCAATACACTCCGCGTCTTTTGGTGCTTAATATCTCGGTTACTTTAAGGCCTTGGTGTATGTGTGTTGAAGAAAACTTGCTTATTGTTGCTGTGTTAAGGAAATTCCTAACTTTAAGGAAACTCCGTGTCTACAAAGAGCTACTTCTACAGGTACATGTCGATTTCATATAGAACTAGACCATTTTTGGCGACTTTTTTATAACAGTCGATCGATTGAGGAATCATTCAATTATATGTTACATATGTAAGTGTTATGACAGCTATGCTTCTGTATTATTTAATAACAAATAAGCCTATACCAAATGATCTTGAATAAAAATTAATAAATTCATCCTCAGGTTTAAGTGTTGTCACCTCTTGGACTGTTGCCCAGATTACGGGATGTTTCTTCTCGTTTAATAGTAAAACAAATTTTTTTGAAAGGACAATGGTCTCTATCTTACTCGTCATATGGCGAGGAAGTATCGTAATCGCGAGATATTTTGAAAATGAGATATTATGGTTCTGATCTTATATAAAAGGTACGTCACAAAAAATTGTATCACCCATGTCTGTCGGTTCATTTGTCTGCCAAATCCGCAAAGCGTCGGTCCCTTCATAGTTCGGAATGTACCGGTTGGGTTGTTTTGAATCTTTGACACAAGGTTACTACTATTCAAAGGACCAAAAGGCATTGTAGTTTTTGAAAATCGACACAGTCGCGTTGCTTCCGACAAAAAACGAAAAATAGAATCGCTCGAACTTAGTTTATTTGCGTTTCAGAAGAAATTTATTTTAATACCCACGTCGGGCGTAACGAATGTAGAATGTAAACCTGTCGTGAACTGGCCCCACTGCAGCTGATGTGGTTACGATTCTGTAATACAGTTTTTAGCACCTCAAAGACTGAGGGCCAACGACGTTAAGCAACACATTTCCTCCCTTCCTTTAAATAACGATTACGATAAACGTTAGTAGCATCAGTTAGATAACGATGTTCGCGGCGCTCTGGATCCAGGTTCGATGTGAGATTTACAGTACGATAGAGACGAAATATGAACGTCTGAATCCAGCATAGGGTTTCGCTTTTTTTTTTTTGGTGGATAAACTGATCAATGGTTAGTTGTGATATATTTGCCACAATGATATCGTACCAGACCCTTCTTCTTATTCCATATGCAAAATACGTTCCTTGTATTTCTCTCTATCTTTATACGAGGGATGTCTTTTAAGTTTTGCATATAGAAACATAGTAGGCCGCGCGGATCGAACGTCAGTACTGAATCTTAGCCTCACTCTTTAGTAAACTTAAATTCAAAAGTTCACAACAATACGTGCAGTGTTCTCACTACAGTGAATTTTTAAGTGTCACCAAGACATTAGAAAAATGGAACTCAACCGAGAACATTTTCGCACCATAATCTATTACAACTTTCAGAGACAATTATCACAACAAGAATGCCTTGCTGAGTTGCTGTCTGTTTTTGGCAACGAAGCGCCATATCAGTCGACAATTTCCAGTTGGTATGGAGAATTCAAATGTGGAAGGGTGAGTCTTAGGGACGATCCCAGGGTGGGTGCACCAAAAACGGCAGTTACCCAGAAAACGTCGATGCTGTGCGCAAACTCATCTTTGAAGATATACATGTGACAGATCGCGAGATTGAGGCGTCCTTGAAGATCTCAAAGACCGCAATTCAAAAAAATGTACATGAAGAATTAGGAGTAAGAAAATTAGTTTCTCGTTCGATACCCCACCTGTTGAAGAGCAGAAAGCAGCCAGGGTTAATTGGTGTCAAAAAACGCTTGACTGTTTCAAGTCCGCAAACTCAAAAAGTGTGTACAGCGTTATTAGTGGTGGTGAATCGTGGATTTACTATTATGATCCAGAAAATAAACGACAGTCGGCTGTTTGGGTGTTCCAAGGTGAAGAAAAGCCAACAAGTCATCAGTTCTCGAAGTGTTTCGAAAAAGATGGTCGCGACATTTGTATCAAAAGCGGGTCATATTGCAACAATTCCTCTTAAAAAGTCATCAACGAGCTTCGAAAAATCAACCCCGAAAGAAGAATTATCTTCCACCAAGACAATGCAAGCTCGCACACAACCCAAAAAACAAGGCAGTATTTAACGAAGGAAAACGTGGAATTATTGGACCATCCTCCATATAGTCCCGATCTAAGTCCTAACGATTTCTTTACTTTCCCGAAAACTTAAAAGACATCCCTCGTATATAAATGTGAATGTCTGTTTACTCTGACAACATCACGTCTACACTACATTGCGGAGAGACGTAAGAAAGTGTACTCTTACTAACTGATACCAGGGAAATATTACAAGTATGATTTTGTTGGTGAACTCATCATCGACTTTGCAATCAAATGTCGTGACAAGTACAAAAATGTCCACCGCGAGCATCAGGCCGGCAACAGCGCGGCCTGCCATCGCCCTAGTCAACCTGCAACCGGCTAGCGACTTCGTATGCTTAAAACTTTTACTAACATAAGACATTGTTTTTAAGTAATGCTATAAACTTTCGATCATGTTTTGTATCCCTGATAGCATTAGTGAATTGACAACCCACTCACATGCTTGGGAAGTTTTTGTTAGTATAATAATCCAGAACGATCTAAACCACTGGAACAACCTCAGAGCATTTTGCGGGCAAAATAAATATAGAAAATTCTTCTTAAAAAAATGCAACCGTTTATCCTTACCTTCACGCCAGAAGCAATCCAATCATTACGTAGGTATGAGTTATTAATAGTGTCTGAAATTTAAGCCTTATTCGGTGGCAGTATAGCTAAAAGAAATCAATGTTTGACACTCCCCTCGTAAACTTTAAAACCGCCATCTCTTTCCTCCTATCGATTTTTTGACCGAAGTAAAAGGGTTGGGGGACAATGTCTCCCCAGATACGATAAAACTTGAGTGCAATCCACCCTCTAAGAAAGTTCACCCTATCTGGCCGTTTTATAACGAGCTCCAGCGCGGAGTTTTAACTGCTTTTTTGAACGTATATGAGCGAAATGCAAATTGCGAAAGTTTTACAGGTTCGTTTTATACTTTTATGGCAAACGGTACGTGGAAAATGTATTTCTGTGCCATAAAGATAACATGTAGAAGCCTTAAAATCGTTATTGCTGAAATGGAGTTTCAACCTAGTCGAGATATTGAAGTGAAGAAAGATGCACATTCAGTTGGGTTTGGATTAGCTTGTTTAACGGAACCGCAAAATGTTGGCCAAGTCACTGAAAATCAAAGGATTTGTCCATTTTTTTCTATCTCGAAGATTTTTGAAGCTAAGAAGATAAGGCACCCTCATTGTCAAAATTCGTCACACTGGCGGTGAAGTTAAGAGTAGAAGTTTTATTTGACTTTCAAGTTTCTGATGGAACCTAGGCGTAGTTAAAGGATGCTCTTGGATCAGCGAACATGTTGACATTTGTGTATGGTTTTCACCTTCATGTCTCTAAACACTTAAGGCGAAATACAAAGTTTGGAGACATACTGACTTTGATACTTGGCATGCACTATCTTTTTGCGTATGCTGGATGTGTACTATTGAGTCAATCGACCTGACACCATTTTTTTTTCTGCAGTATTGATTAAATTTGCGTATCGAAACTTAAAATAACCCTCCTACTTAATAGGAATCCCGGAAGAAGTGTCAAACTGGAGCCTTCTACCCCTTCCCTCTAGAAACTGTGGGGTGAGTCATTCCCATTAAAAACAATCATCGTCACGGTCGAAACTTTTAAGGAGGAAGAGAGCGATTGTTATGAATATGCATTCTTGTCAAAGTCAGATTTCATAATTTGTTGCGCGGTTGAGCACTTCACCTTCACTGAAGAGTGTTTTAGTCTGAGATCCCTCAAATATATTTCGAATCTTTTAATAGAAAAGTACATTTGTACCTTACACCGCACCTTAGTTGGACCTCATCCAACATACGGTAGATTAGGATGAGGAGATGCAGATATTTAAAACTCATATATTTCTAAAACGACTGTTCGAAGTACCGAGTTCAAAAAACTTTATGCTGCTAACTAATCACTCTCAGATGTACGAATACATGACATAAGAGAGCCTTGTTTCTTACACCCTCATTAGAATAAATTTCACAAGTCAGAAAATTGAGCACAATTATTGTACACGGTACAAAATAAGAATATGCAAAAAAGTGGTACCAAAGCCGCATGAATCTTCTATCATTAAAATTTTATGGAATTTTCCCCTAAGATTAAATAATTTTAATTTCGGAAATCCCAGCAAGAAAAATTCAAGAAGTGGATGTTTTCTATGCCAAGATAAGGTATTCATAAATCAGTAGCAAATGTAAACACCACGTGAATTCAAAACCCATAATGATTTTTTGTTGTGTCAGTTGCAGCATAAAATGATCGGTCCACGTACGGACGAGGTCTCTTGTGAACTCATTTTGATTTATTTCATTGCTACAATGAAGGATAGATGTTGGAATCGCTTCGTGGGTAAATCGGTGCATGGATTTTAAATCCTGCGTAACTCGCCTGGAGATTCACTAGGGCCTGAATAACCCAGTTTCTGTTCTTAAATTCACCCCCAAAACACTTGACTAGACTTTTCGGTGGTCATATTCGTATCCACTACCTTAAATTATCGGAGTGTACCAAGTTTCATTTGTCCTTAGCAATGAGAGAGAAATATATAAAATCTTGCTCAATGAAGTTTGTACAATATTTTCAGGTTTGCTGTGTGAAAATTTTAGAAAAACTCTGCATTTCGCTAGACTGAATCCGATGTCAACTTAATGCTGGCACTAGCTGAAATTTGGACCTACGGCACGTCATAATATTCTGAAGATTATATTCATATTTAGCACCCCAAAATTACCTACTACAAAAGACGGAATGTGCCATATAAAATTCGATAAATTTAGAACCTTCCTATAACAAATTTAAAAAAAACTTGTGTCTGTGATTTCAACTTAAAGCCCCTTCATATTTAAATCCTCATATTATCAATTACGATCTATATGTGCTTGATTGAATAAATAGGGAACGCGCATCTTTAATTTTGTATTTTCTGTCGATTGTTTACGTCAACACATATTTTATTCAAGAAAGTGTCTGTACTTTTCATCATATATTCAAAAGTGCAGTGTCAATAACGTTGATTTATACACCGCATTTTTCGTGCGCTTCGCAGTGACGTCGCAACCCATGATATGCCATTTTATTCTATTGATTTCCTGTCAAGTTTTTGAATGTTCTTTTTTCATTTTGTTATTTTTCTGATATTGGCGGCGAAGTTCTCCTGCTGGTGGCAGATTCCACGTTAACCAGTAGTCTCTGGAACTAAAAAATCTGACAGGTTGACAATTAATGACAGCGACAATCGTGACGTCAGGCCAATAGCGTTGCGTTTCATTATTTTAAATTTGACACGTACTTTTCAGAATTTTTATTAATTAAAACTAGTAATTTTGTAGTGCATAACTATAAAATAAGGTTGACGGTGGATTTCTGCAGTAATATAGACTGTAAATGAAAATACATACCGGATATTTGAATCACATGCATATTTCCAATTTTAGCGATTTTTCAAGTCAGCAGTAAAAATGTCTTTCATTTGCAGATGCTCTTCATAAAACAGACGAGCCCTATGCTTAAACAAAAACAATTTTCTGTCTTCATGGCATCTAAAAACTTAAAGCACTTAAATTTAGCACAATCGAGCTGAGCTATCTTACGGTATGTTTCTATGTAAATGAGATAAAAGTAAAAAGCCATTCTGCGGCTTATCTGCATAATGAGAATATTAGGCGGAGCTTTTTATTGATGCTAAATCAAAATGAAACTTTGCCTGCACCATTATATCCTTGATGAATTCAAGTTTTTGTAATAAAGCAGACAAAAGCTTCGGCAAGCGAGAGATGTTCTTGATATGCAAAAGACGAATGAAGTTTGATACTGTGAATGTATATGATCAGCAGCTTAATTATCTAACTTTTTACTTCTTATCCTTCTGTTTGGGGAAGCAATGAAATTTTTTATATTTGGGTGTTTTATAGTCCGGGATTCAGTGTTCACGTAGCAGTCAAGCGCTTATACGCTACGCGTATCACATGGTCTAAATCCATGCTCTAGGTTTTGTCTTTTCCAACTGTTTAACAGCTCTGGAATCCTACATTGCAAAATCAATATTTTTCTTCAGAAATTTACTTTACTATTATTGTGAGGCTGCCAAACAAACTGCCGGTTTTTCTTACAACTTACGCACTTACGATTATGCAAGAAAGTTGGACGAATATACAAAAATATGCGTGTATTTGGTTATAATGTAACATGGGATGTTTGCTTTGCTCGGGGTGTTCGCAGGGCTCGGGATATTCACTTTGCCCGGGGTATTAGCTTTGCTTGGGGTGCCGCTTTGTTCGGAGTGTCCGCTTTGCCTGGGGTGTTCGTTTTTCCCGGGGTGTTCGCTTTGCCCGGGGTATTTGTTTTCCCCGGGGTGCTCGCTTTGCATTGGGTGTTTGCTTTATCTAGGTCTCCCCTACACCTTAAACCATCGAATCCCAAGATCTTGAAAATTGATCATCCGAATTGGCGCTAGTTAAGATTCTAGACTAAGAGCCGTTTTACACACAAGAGAATTAGGTACTCCGAAAATTATGGTCATAATTATGCCGAAAATTTTTGTTGTCGTATTACACGTAAAAGAATTCTTGTAAAAATTTTCATGGTAAAACTATAAAACCCGTTCTATAGAATATGCGCGAGAATCGACGCAGAAGGTTATTTCCGTGCATGTCAATTGTCAATATCAAATGTTAACGTCAACAACATAACCTCACTTAACATTTGTGGGTGTGATCCTGTTCGAGTCGTACGAAGAAGCGTTTATTGTTATTCTTTATTCATATGGAATCGGTAAGAAGTTACAGTGTTGTTGGAGGAGTACCAAAAATGGACAAACCTGTACAAGGTGAAGTCACCCAATTAGAAAAACAGAAATTTGCCGCGTCAGGAGCTGGATGCGATAGTCCAAGCATTGAGAAGTTTTATAATATTAACCAAGATCTCGATTTCTAAAATAAATTTAAATCAACGACGTCTGTTGACTTTCCGATTATATTGGACGTCATACCCGTTAAGGTTATATCCATTCGAAAATATTACTCTAATGCGCAGGCGTATCATATGAATTACTCCAAAAATTTTTTTGCTTGTGTCATACAGGTTGTAGAGAAAATCTTCAATATTTTTTCCATGCAAATTTTTGGCATAATTATGACCATAATTTTCTGAGTAATTCTTTTGTGTGTAGAACGGCTCTTATTCAATTTTCCCTTTCTAGCGTACCTACCATAATAATTAAAAATAGTAAATTCCTGAAGCATATGAAAATATTTTATGTTGAATATTTTGAAGTCCACCATCCTTCTGAGAACATGGAACTGGTGCAATAACGAAACTTGCTTCAATTGATTTTTCCCGTGACGTAACATGTTTACCGAAGCGTCTTATTTGATTAATTACTTTTTTAAGATCGGTTACCTTCTTCTCGGCAGTAAACAAGATATAATACGTAAGACGATAAAAGACCTCGAGACAGAAATTAATTATGCAAGTACTTTACTTCCATTCACGTCAACGAAAATGCTGACGAACACTTAGGAATGGGTCATCCCACGTATTAGTGACACGCGGCCTCACCGCACAAAGTTTGTTATTTTTGCTGAGACTCTAACGAAGGTTAAGCTTTTTTGGTTAGGGAGGTAAATCCTTCACTCTAGTAGTCATCTCGGTCCCGGACTTATCAAAGTTAGCTCGTGATGTCATTTATACATACTCTAACGAAAAAACAGACTCACTGCTAGGTTTCTCTGACATCGGTTAGATGAGCCGTTTTTGCAAAAAAGTTTGGTACTGGATCCAGTATCATGGGACCGCTAGTTTGAAATTGTAGTAAACTTGATCCAATATTCGCAACCGGAGACACTAAGGACTAATCCTAATGTATATTGATTTTTTTGTAGATCGGTTGCAATGTAGATCGGTGGGCACTATTTTCTCAAAACTGCTCGTTTTATCAAAATTCGAAGAAGTAACAATGCTTCTCAAAGACATTATTTTTGATTCATTATTATCCTACCGCTTTTCTTTTCTTTGTATCAGCTTCAACAATTTTTACCGACTAGACGAACATTTTTTGTGATAAAAAAAGTCGCTGCATATGTATATATTTTTACCGTTACAGGTTGAACACACTACGATTCTTGCACTGTACCTGTACCTATAATGTGATTTAACCTTTTAAAATGTTTTGTAATTGTAATGTCCTTATTTATTTTATAATTATAAGTATTTTTCTGGCATATTTGCTCAAACGCATATATGACCCTCAAATTGATATTGACAAGTCTTATATCATGTAACATGATCTAATAGGACAATAAACTATCTATCTACCTATCTATCTACCTATCTATCTATCTATCTATCTATCTATCTATCTATCTATACAGGGTATCCAGCGTGATCCCAAAGTCCCTTAATTAATAGCCTCGAGTACGACCTTGAGGGTCAGATCAAGGTCAGGATAATTTTCAAAAGATATCCCAAAAACGGGTCTTGAATAGGCTGTCAAGGTCAGTTTCAAGGTAACCTGTAATAGCCAGCCAGTTAGCCTGTCTTCGAGTCCTTATTGCTAATGCTTGGGAATATATCTGAAACCTCCTCAAACGAGGGCATTTTAAGGTAACCCTTGACCTAGACAATTTTCACCGATGGTCATATATAAACGAAGAAGCTCAATCCGCTTCTGTGTTAAAAAGGTCACGCTAGAGGTAAAATGTTTGTTATAAGTCAGGTGATGAAGAGGCGCATAAATCGAGAGACTCTAGACTCTAGAGTCATTGAAGGTCACGGCTTGATTAGGGTCAGGACAGTCTCGGGACCCTTTACAAAGCAACGGGCCGTCGACGATCGAGCTCTCTTCTACCGCTATGTCAACGGGCTTTGCTTATTAGAGCTCTTCTTCGTGATGCTGTCGCGCAATATGGCTGTCGGACAGACCCAACTGACTTTAGCATCCCATTCTGACCGTGTCGAAATCGTACAACCAGAACTGTCTCTATGATATCGAGGTTTTGAAGCAGTCTACCTGGGCAGGCTTTTCCAAGTTCTGCTAGCCTCAAGCTGTTCAAAAAAGGGATTAACCAGGTTCCTTTAGACTTTTCATAGAAGCCGCAGTGACCCGGTAATAAGGCTTCGGTATAAAAAAATTCAAACTCAGACAAAAATCCTAAATCCGCTAGTTTATTTTTACTATGGCCATTAAATATTCCCAAATATCATACGGTTCCCAGACATTTTTTTACATGAAGTTGTGCCATTTTTTTGTATTCTATTGCATTCCAGAGAACATTCTAAGTCACCTAGTATAAACGAAGCTTGTCTATACCAGCGCTCTTCTAATATGCCGCTGCTTTCCAAGCCTGACACATTAAAAGCATTTATATAAAAACTTCTCATCTCCATTAAATGTTTTCCATCCTCGCAAAAGTTAAAAATTTTGCCAGTTGGCGCTGGCATGAGCTATTCTGGTATAATGGCACTCCGCGAAAAATGGCGGAGAGTTGGGAGAATATTTTTGTATCCAATTTAACTTCGAGGTTGTTAAAAACTTTCTCATTTTTGCTGCACGGTATTTGAAAGGGCATGTATCCTCGTGCACGTATGCAGAGCTCATCTTTCACAAATACACATACAGGTCCCCTTTCTCCCTCTTTATCTCCCCAGGAGCATCAGCTGACAGAGAATGTGTCAACTAACATCATGATACTTCTCACAAATTACTATAACTATAACTTAAGCTGCCCATGTGTTGAGCATTTTGAAAGGGTTTTGATTCTTCCAAGTAATGCAGTTACAAAAGAACC